TAAAGTTGGTAGTAGTATGTTGGCCCAACATTGGCCCAATGTTTGTAGTACACCCTTAGAGAAAGTATCTTTTAAAGTTGGTAGTATGTTGGCCCAGCGTTGACCCGATGTTTGAAATACACCCACCTAGAAAGTGTCTTATCAAGTTGGTAGTAGTCTGTTGGCCCGACGTTGGCCCGATGTTAGCACGAGTGTTCTTTTGTTTAGGTGTTTCAAAGATGGAATATTTATATTGGGCCAACGGTGTCCCAATTATTATACTGCCAACTAAATGATGGGTGTCATTTTTAGCTGCTGAACATTACGTTGGGACAACGTTGGTTCTAATTAAGTTTTAATTAAGATGCACATTTTGAAATAGATATGAGTATGTCCATGCTTTTAATTGGATGATTGCTCACAGGTGGTGGTACATGTAGACTGAAAATCCAGGGCAAGCATGCAAGAAGAAGTGAAATGTAAATTTGTGGATAAAACACTTGCAATACAGCTGCATTAGAAGCGATGTAAGTATAATTGTATTCTTATTTATTCAGGTTAACTGTTAAAATTGATTCGGAATTCACTGTAAGTTAAGGTTAAATATGTTTCTATCTAATTCTTAACTGTCTATTACAGACACAATTGTAACAAGGAAATTAAGATGCACTAATAGTATAATACATTATTCTCTTTATTAAAAGATTTAATTTAAGTAATATTTATAAGTTGGACCAGTAATTGTATTGTTTCTAATATCAAACTATTTTGTATTTTCAGTCAGAGACTGTAAGGAAAACAAATGTGGCGGTAAATAGCAATGAAATCGAAGACCATGCGTAAAGGAATGTAAAAAGTACAAGTACGTATGATAAAGATCAAGATGAAGAAAACGGGAGGCGACGACGGGACGGAAAAAAAGCGGGAATACAACAAAAGGACAGTGATAGAGGAATTACGTGAGCCCTGATTAAGAACTTTGAATTGCATGAATTAGCTCTATTGTGTATTCTAAAATTTATTTTGTAAATGATGATGTATTGATTTGATGTATATAAAATATTTTCACAGTGAATCATTAGTAATGTTTTCATTGAACATGTCCATGTATACATTATGAAGGGAGATTGAATTGTGTATTTTTTTTTTAAACAGTCATAAAATAGGTTAATGTTAAGCATTACTTAACCATTTGCAAATGTTTCTATGTAATAACTACGTTGGCCCAACAATTTGCCATCTGACATTGTAAAAAAGAGTCACCATTGAGTCAACCTAACCAACCAGTTGTTAAGGTTGGCTGTTAGTTGGCAAACACTAAAAACTACGTTGGCCCAACAATATGCCATCGCACATTTCAACAAAGGGCCAACGTTGGGCCAACCTAACCAAGCAGTTATTAAGGTTGGCTGTTAGTTGTCGTACAATTAAACTTACGTTGGCCCAACAATATGCCAACATGTTGGACCAACGTTGGGCCGATGAGCAAAATTACCGTGGGCCAACGTTGGAAAAAAAATTGGGCCAACGTTGGCCCAACTATGTCTTGCTATCTGGGTAGTAACCATGGCAACACCATACATCGAAATCATAAACCGATGCACAGAATTATGTATCTTAATGTAGTCTACTTTTGTGCCAAGTTATATTGAAATCGGACCAAAATTGTAAGAGGAGTAGCATTTTGAAAGAAGTTCACAGAAATTTCTATTTTTAGTAACCATGGCAAAACCGTTCATCGAAATCAAAAACCGATGCACAGAATTATGTATCTTAGTGTAGTCTACTTGTGTGCCATGTTATATTGAAATCGGACCAAAACTCTAATAGGAGTAGCATTTTGAAAAATTGTTTACAGACAAACAGACGGACAGACAGACAGACGGACGGAAGACGGACGCATTACTATCGCATAAGCTCTTCTGGTCTCAGTAGAGCTTCATTTTTAGCCAGTAGAGCTAAAATGTTGATGAAGTTGAATAGCTTACGTCAGTGTGTACCAGCCTATGAAGTTTGAATAGTTTCTTTGAAACTGAGCTACATGCAAAGCAGGACGAAATTACAGAAGGATGGGAGGTCAGAAAGATGAAATATAGAAAAGAGTGACATGACAAATTCTTGGCAGGACTTTACAACTCACATTTATGAAATAACAGCCATAAGCTTTTAGCTAAAAGCCTATAATTTTTTTTTAATTAAACAATGCAAGTCTGCATGACAATAATAAGTCATATGGAAAAAAGTTTCTCCTTTCGAAAATTGTCTTTTAGTCATGTGAAAGTATGAGTGGAAGGTTGGACAGGGATGATTACAAAACCCCTTCAGTTGCATTACGTTATTATAAGTACAGACAGTTATCATTATTCATGGGAAAGTGATGCAAAGAAGTAAGTTTTAATAATAATAATAATCTTTCAAGCAAATGTACAAAATTAATACACATGAAAAATAATAATTTTATTTTCATTTTATACATTCTGACAGACAAACTTTGAAAGAAAACTGCCCCTCTCCTCAAATGCAGTTTGAACATCTCATGTTTACTTCGACATGCACATATTGATTGTTGTCTTCAACAATTCTTTAAACCATTTTAAAAATGCACAAAAAGCTTTAATAGCATACATGTAATATGTATTCATAAAGTAATGTACACATCAAATAAAAAGTGTGTGTATATTGATATAAAAAAGTACGTAAGGGTTGCCCGCAACCCTGTGTCTCGCCTGCTGTCGCTGTGGTTAGTAAGAAATGATTGTCTGATAAACTGAAGCATTTATTGACATTTCAGAAGGAATAACTCAAAAATACAATAATAAAGAAATGGAACAGCTGACTTAATATCTAATCCCTTGGCGATTATATTGGCATTTATATATATATACATATACCCTGTAAATTCACAAATTATTGTGATGTTTTTATTATTGCGAATATTGCAACGTGTTATGAGTCGCAATAATTTGAACTTGCATTTTGAAATCAAATCCACTGTATATGTATCAAGTCATTCATGCAGAAAATGTAGGTGAAGATTACCTAATTATGGTACTGATATTGTTGGTTACCCATGATGTGTAGACTGACAAATTATCATGCCACTATAAGTTATAGTTGCTGAGATATGGACCTCCACCATAAATTTATGCAAAGTCACTCATGCGGAAAAATGTAGGTCAAGATGACCTAATTCTGGTACAGGCGTTTGTGGTTACCCATGATGTATCCACTGACAAATTATCATGCCACTATAAGTTATAGTTGCTGAGATATGGACCTCCACCATAAATTTATGCAAAGTCACTCATGCGGAAAAATGTAGGTCAAGATGACCTAATTCTGGTACAGGCGTTTGTGGTTACCCATGATGTATCCACTGACTAACTATCATGCCACTATAAGTTATAGTTGCTGAAATATGAACCTCCATTATCAATTTAACCAAAGTCATTCATGCAGAAAAATGTAGGTCAAAATGACCTAATTCTGGTACTGATGTTGTTGGTTACTTATAACCTGTACAATGACAAATCATCATGCCATTATAAGTTATAGATGCTGAGATATGGACCTCCACCAAAAATTTAACCAAAGTCACTCATGCAGAAAAATGTAGGTCAAGATGACCTAATTCTGGTACTGACGTTTGTGGTTACCCATGATGTATCCACTGACTAATTATCATATCCCTATAACTTATAGTTGCTGGAATATAGGTCTTCACCATAAATTATCATGAAAAAACTAAGTCCAACTTAAGGAAAAAATACGGAAAAATTTGAATTTTTTTTTTCAAAATCATACTTGGGATATAAATTTTTATCCATACTGAATATTGTGTCCAAATTTCAAGAAGACTGAATAAAATTTGAGAAAGTTATTGCAGTTTATAAAACTTTGACATTTGGGTTAACCAAAAGTTGGACGCCGCCGACGACGACGACGACGACGGAATCTATGGTCGCTATGTCTCGCTTCGCGACATTCGTCGCAGGCGAGACAAAAATAACTAATGGAGTAAAAATTAAATGTATTTTGTTTGATACAGATTACAATGCCAGTAGAAATACATCTACATACTTATCTTCTACGTTCTCAATTCAAATTCTTCCAATAAGTTTTTTTAATGGCTTGATGGACATACTTGTAGAAGTACATTTTTCCGCGTGGTATTAATTCGCGGTCACAAATTTTCCGCGGAAATTTGTCCAAGCGTACTTAATATTAATTTAAGGCATATAGTGACAGTTTAAGAAAACCGCGTAATTTTCTACCCGCGGATTAAACAGAAATTGTGATTCCGCGGAATTATGACCCCGTGGAAAAAAGTACGTCTACAGTAATGTTAAAAGAATAATACTTTCAAGAGTCACAAAAATGAAAATCATAGAAAGCAACACTTTAACTGAGAATTTGTGAATAAAAAGTTGTTGCCAATAGAAGTCCAGTATTTCATGTAAAAAAATGTTTTCATGTTCCACTTTACAGACAACAAAAACAGTCCATTGTACATGTATGGCAAAATCACACACAATTTTTAAATCACTAGTCGAGAACGATAGTATATATATGTAATACAAGAGCTAAAGGGGAAATCACATACAACTAATTACACACAATTTTTAAATCACTAGTCAAAATCTACAACAACACAGACCTAAATTTCACAAATGCACATCATATAAAGAATGTCTTTATTCAAACATGAAATGGTCATTTCGTGTAAAACACATTTTTTTTTTATTAACGTAAAACATGTCTAATATGAACCCAGTACATGTATTAATTTCTTCAAAATTTTAAAGAGTTTCTTGCAAAATTTTGTTGTAAAATTTTTTTTATAAACATTAACTTCAAAGTGAATAGATTTTGGGTTTAAAATCAAGATTTACATTTTTACTTTAATATATCCATTTGAATAGAAACTCAAAATTTATCATATTAAACTGAAAAAATTTTTCTTTGTAAAAAAAAATTAAAAGCTCACATTCATAAGAAACTTGCATTCCTCAGCCTTGGAACCCCATGTGCAAATAATCACTTTTTTGCAGGCAATAAATTTGTCCTACTCAAAACCATAATTTTTGTTTGGCCAACATTAAAAACAAAGCAGGGGCTACTACATACAACCTTCTTACAATAACCACTTTCAGTGTGCTACTAAATGAGTCTATAGGTGAAAAAGCAGATCGATAATTGACTAATGCACATGTACTACTAATCCACATTTTACAGATCACCAACACAGATCTACATCTTGCGCATTTCATTCACGACACTAAGTCACAGGAGATCTTGTCCTACATCTGATCCAGATCTTATATTTTATTCTTGGATCCCTGTGGTTCCCCCTATTTGAGCCCCGCCATCAGTAATACGATTGGACAGTGGTCACTCCCCATGACCTTCTGTTGTATAATACTGTCACAAAGATCTTTCTGGAGTCGTTCGGAGATCACAAAGTAGTCCAATCGCCTGTAAAACAAAAATCAAATGTAGAGTACAGACTTCAGCAACAACTGATAGGGATCATAATATTAATTATTTGGTTATTTGATTTATGTGCTTGTACATTTGAGAAATATATACAGAATTGGAACAGAATAGCGTAAATGCTTGACTAATTGATTAGTTTTTATCTAAAAGTGTCTGTGTGATGCTGAACTTGAAGAGTGGTGTATCACGAATAAGCATGGCTGACAAAAGCAGTATTCATAATTTGGCATACATGTAACAGAAATTGATGGCAGAATACTAGGAATATGTGCCATCTCTGAAACTGAAAGAAATTCCTACTAACTGATCCAAAGGGAAAAAAAAACTTCAACAATTTTTTGGTGAAATGAAACCTTACACAAACTGCCTTAATTCAGTGTCCCAAGACATTTTTAGTATTTCTATTTTTATATACTGTAAAATCCCATATTTTCGTGGGGTCAAATTTTCGTGGTTTGAGGAAAAAATGTCCGTTTGTGGGGATTTGATTTCGTGAATGAGGAACATTTTAGTAGTTGTGCATTTGAAAATTTAAATTTTGTGGTGGACATAATTTTCTGGCTCTCTTCATACATGTACCTCGAAAACAAAGAAAATTAAACCCCCACGAAAATTAGTGATTTCATAGTATGTAAGTATAGATTGATGATTTCTATTACACTAATTCAATGAGATGTTTAAAATCTTTTGACTTACCACCCAATGTTCTTGGCCCTGGCATTCATCATGTACGTCCAGAATGACCAGCAGTCCCTAGCGTTAGGGTACAGGGCGCGGAACGAGTCGACAAACCCCTCCCCCAGGAGCTTAGTGAACCCCTCCCTCTCCTGATCAGTGTAACCTGGTGTCTTATTTCTGTTGGTAGCAGGATTCTTTAAATCTGTAATAAAAAAATTACATAAATATTTAATGCATTAAAAGCTTTATGCAATTAACTTATTTTTCAGCATCTTGGATATACTGTTCATGTATATGGGATTTTTTACTATTAGTAACTGAGAAGAAAACAAAAGTACAATGTAAAACAAAATGTCAATTTCAAATTTCTTCAATTCAATTTAATCTGACAAAAGAATATACATTTAAAAAAAATTCTATTCAGATATCATAATATGATCCATTTTATGTAAAGTAAGGAAGGATAACTCCTATTAACTTCTTGCAAAGCAGGAAAAGTAAACTCCCGTTACATTCTCAACCCTGCTTTCCATAGCAAAAAAATTTAAGTCATATTGAATTTGCAAACCATTTTTTAAGTACAATTTTAAATTCTGCTACAAATGTTGAAAATCAGAGGTAAGCCACATACTCCTCTGGAACCCCACAAAGTTTTTCTGTATTTTTCTGACTCACCTACAGGGGTGTGGGCCACATGGAGGTCCTTTTTATCATCTTTTTTTTTTCGGGGGGGGGGGGGGGGGGGGGGGGGGATTTTTCAGACGTACCTACAGGGGTGTGGGCCACATTGAGGTCTCCACACATGATGACCGGTTTCTTGGCATCCAGTTTCTTCAGGTAATCAGTAAAGGCACAGTCCCACTCCTCCGTCCTGTACTTCAGCCGCACCAGTCCTTTACCAGAATTTGGAACATCTAAAAGGCAAAGGAGTTTAACTACAATATGTTGTATGCAAAATCATGTTAACTTCATTTGGTTTGATAGTTGAGGTAAATAAAAAACCATTTTTTTAATTCTCCATAAAGAAAAATATCATCTTTATAAAAATTATGCCCATTGAAACAGTCAAGCTTTTTAATTGCTTCTAATATATTTAATTTTGAAAAGTAAAAAGTAAATTTTGGTATGCCACAACAAAGAAGATGCAACGCTTAGGAATGTGCACTTCTCTAATTCTTATAAATGTAAATTCATCGGAATGACTAAAAGTTACATTCCCTCTGAATTACTTACAGGCGTTGACCATAAAGAAGTCTTCATATTCAGCTGTGATGACTCGACCCTCGTCATCATGCTTGGCGACACCTGAGTTCATTAAAGATAGCAGAAAATAATTATACAGAGGATCACTGAATCAGTGCAGGATAATTCAATTAGTTTGAACATATTTTATTGCAAAAAATATATACAATGGGGTTGGGCACAAGTTCTAAAAACTTAAATCGCCCTCTCCCTACATGAGATATTATAACAGGATGAATTAGAAGTGTTCAACAGTTTGTACAGAATAAATAACAAGTAAATTAAATAAACTCTCATTGTGGACATATATAGACTGCTACATTATTGTGTATACAAATAGTTTTAAAAAATGTGTACAATCAGTTAAATCTACCAGAATGCTGAATATAAGAATGTATAATAGAAAATAGATATTCATTTTCAGCAATACTGAGTGATGTATCCCCCCAAAGTAAAGTCTGAATGTCAACAATATGGACTTTATTAAATCTCAAAAACTTATCGAAAAACTCTTTCCTGGCCTCGTTGTAGTTAGGGCACGAGAAAAAATAATGATGCGTATTTTCTACCTTACCGCAGGAACATAGTGGACTAGATATTATATTACATCTATAAAGATCAGCGTTTAGCACGCAATTGTGCCGAAGCCGTGTATGCAGTATATTGTTGCGTCTTTTACCAAAATTAAAATATGGCGGAGGTTCTGTTATTTTTTGTTTAATTTTACTTTTGAAAACAGACAAAGAGCTCGAAAGTCTGGTATTTAGCGGTAAGGAATTCCACTCATTTATTACAGTTGGTACAAATGATGATTTGTAGGTTTGCAATTTACATACAGGTATACTATAATTTTGAGAGTTTCTTGTTGTATATGCAGAAGCATTACATCGCATATCAGGTATAATCTCAGATAAGTAATCTGGTACTAAATCATTGTGAATTTTGTACATGATATTTAATCTTTGGATCTTACGTCTGTCGCTGAGTGGTTCCCAGCCTGTTTCAAAATACAAAGAGTCTCTAGAGGCAATCATAGTTAGTCCAGTAACAATCCGAGCTGCGTGTAGTTGCAATTTTTCTAATTTTTCAGAATCGATAGATAAACAACCACCCCATACAACTGAAGCGTACTCAAGTTGGGGACGGATAAATGAAGTATACATAAGTGAAAGGCTTTTTCGATTTATTTTAAACTTAAGTTTTTTCAAAAGACCTAATTTTTTGTATGCATTAGACAGCAAGATTTCAATGTGAGATGACCAACTTAAGTTGTATGAAAACGTTACCCCTAGATGCTTATGAGTTTGAACATATTCTAATTGGCTATCCTGGAAAAGGAGTTTTGGAAATTCTTTGTTTTTTCTTGTGTTAAAAAATACAACCTTAGTTTTAGAGGGATTAAATTTTAGCAACCACTTTTTAGATCACTCTTCAAGAGATAAAAGATCATTATTCAGATGACCTTCTATAGATTTGACACATTTAGATGCATACTGCAAACTGTTATCATCAGCAAAAAGTCTACAAAAGCTTGACATCTTGTCAGCGACATCGTTCACATAAATTAACAAGAGGCCCAAAGGCCTTGAATCGCTCTTCTGATAAATTGTACAACCTATCACTTGTATTTGAAGCCTCTAACCCTAAGTATCCTATTAAAGACCCAAGTTGCATCACCTGACAAAGTTTGATGATTCTTAGCCAATTAGAACTCCTTTTTGGTCTACATTCTTGGAAATCACAAAATGCATCAAGTGACAAAGTTTGATAATTCTAAGCCAATAAATACCTGATATATTCAAAAGTAGGTCACTGTGACTTACTCTTTGGTCAACATTCTCAGAAAACCCAAGATGCATCAACTGACAAAGTTTGATGATTCTTAACTAATAAGTACCAGAGATACTTAAATATAGCCATAAAATGTCGAAAGTAGGTCATTGTGACCTACATTTTGGTTGACATTTTTTAGAGTCCCAAGATGCATCTGCTGACCAAGTTTGATGTTTCTAAGCCAATAAATACCTGAGATATTCAAAAGTAGGCCACCATGACCTACTTTTAGGTCGACATTCTCCGAAAATCCATGATGCATCAACTGACAAAGTATGATGATTCTAAATTGATAAGTACTAGAGATACATAAATATAGCCATAAAATGTCAAAAAGTAGGTCACTGTGACATACTTTTTGGTCGACATTCTCCAAAAACCCAAGATGCATCAACTGACAAAGTTTGATGATTCTAAGCCAATAAGTACTGGAGAATACTTAAATATAGCCATAAAATGTCAAAAGTAGGTCATCGTGACCTACATTTTTGTTGACATTTTTTAGAGTCCCAAGATGCATCTGCTGACCAAGTTTGATAATTCTAAGCCAATAAATACCTGAGATATTCAAAAGTAGGTCACCATGACCTACTTTTTGGTCGAAATTCTCCGAATACCAAAGATGCATCAACTGACAAAGTATGATTATTCTAAACCAATAAGTACTAGAGATACATAAATATAGCCATAAAATGTCAAAAAGTAGGTCACTGTGACCTACTTTTTGGTCGACATTCTCTGAAAACCCAAGATGCATCAACTGACAAAGTTTGATGATTCTAAGCCAATAAGTGCCGGAGATATTTAAATATAGCCATTAAATGTCGAAAGTAGGTCACTGTGACTTAATTTTTGGTCGTCACTATCTGAAAACCAAAGATGCATCAACTCACAAAGTTTGATGATTCTAAGCCAATAAATACCTAAGATACTTAAATATAGCCATAAAATGTTGAAAGTAGGTCACCGTGACCTACATTTTGGTCGACATTTTTCGGATTCCCAAGATGCATCTCCTGACCAAGTTTGATGATCATAGGTTTAAAGGTAATCAAAATATGCCTTTTAAACAATTTGAAAACAAATGCCTGCAAAATTCTAAAAGTAGGTCACAGTGACCTACTTTTTCTTAAATATGTTTTAAGGTCCCATGATGCAGCAACTTACAAGATTTGATGATTCTAACCCTTTCAGTGCCTGAAATAATGGGATTAAATGTTTTGAAAAGGATAAGTCATAAAGTTCAAAAAGTAGGTCAGGGTGACCTACTTTTAAGTTGACGTTGTTCAAGGACCCAAGATGCATCAACTGACTAAGTTTGATGATCATAGGCCTTAAAGTATCCAAAATATGCCTTTAAATCAATTTGAAAACAAATGCCCGCAAAATTTAAAAAGTAGGTCACAGTGACCTACTTTTGAGTTAACATGATGTGAAGTCCTAAGATGCATCAACTTACAAGATTTGAAGATCCTAGTCCTTATAGTAAGCAAAATATGAACATTTTTATTAATTGTAAATTTAGGTCAACTTTAAAGTGACCTTGAGACCACGCCCTTTGCCCAAGGGTCATGCCTTGAACAATTTTTAATCTTCAACATATCCTGATCCTTGTATGTAAGTTTGGTGAAAATCTGCTCGGTGGTTCTGGAGAAGAAGATTTTTTAGCAACCAGTGCTTTTTGTTTTGTTTTCCTGATTATCTCCCCTTGATTCAGGGTCCCAACCCTTATTTTAGTATAAATGGTAGCCCTTGGGCCAAGGATACCCTGTGACAAATTTGACACTGATTGGCCAAGGGGTTCTTGAGTTATGGCCCATATTCTAAAAAGTTAACGCACACCGCACACCGCACGACGCACACCGCACAAATGGCCATAGCATTAGCTCTTTGAGCCTTTGGCTCAGAAGAGCTAAAAATAACAATGGACCTAATACAGAGCCTTGTGGAACACCCGCATAAAGGGATTCAGAAGGGGATACCAGGTTTTTGTATATCACTCTTTGCGTTCTATTCTCTAAATAGCTTTTTAACCAACTATACATATCTTTCTTTACACCATACATTTTTAATTTAAATAAGAGTCCTTTGTGCCATACACGGTCAAAGGCCTTAGATAAGTCACAAAAAATCATACAGCAGGATTTGCCTTCATCAATATTTCTAACAATGTTATCATATGTTTCTAATAACTGATATACAGTAGAGTGACCAGGTAAGAAACCAGCCTGGTATTTATAAAAAATATTGTTAGAGTGAAAATAATTGTACAAGTGTTTAAATACAATACGCTCCATCACTTTACTGACACAGCTTAACAATGAAACAGGTCTATAGTTAGATAAAACTGCAGGATCATCTTTTTGTCCCCCGCTTGAAAAGTGGGGGATATTAATTTGGGTTTGTCCGTCCGTCCGTCCGTCCGTCTGTCTGTCCGTCCGTCCGTCTTTCTGTCTGTCTGTAACGCTTTCGTTTCCACACGATATATCGAGAACCCTTTGAGCTTTTGCATTGAAATTTAGCATAGCAACTCCCTATGAACTAAAGAAGACCCCTATTGATTTTGAGGTCAAAAGGTCAAAGGTCAAGGTCATAAATAAGCAAATTCTGTCTGTTAAAACACTTTCGTTTCCACACGATATCTCTAGAACCATTTGAGCTATTGCAATGAAATTTTATATAACAACTCCCTGTGGCCTAATAAAGACCCCTATTGATTTTGAGGTCAAAAGGTCAAAGTTCAGGGTCGTAAATTTATACATTCTGTCTGTGTGTAATACTATTATTTCCGGGCGATATTTCAAGAAGATTTTGAGCTTATGCAATGTAATTTTATATCAAAACTCCCTAGGACGTCTCTCGCCCCTCTCAAAGTGCCCCGCCCCGTTTGTTTTATTAGTATTTATAGTATTACATGTCGCTATTTTTAGCGCAGGGGCATGAGGAGAGTTATTGCGTATAAAACAGGTTCTCGGCGGACTTTATGTTCTTATTACATCTATTAGAACTGTTTAATAAAGGCTAAATAAATCAAACACCATGGATTGTGTAAAATTTTGAGAATACCGAACATGAAAACATGAATAAAAACATGTATGTGACTTCAGTTCTGCATATACTTCACGCCAAGTACAGCGATTCCGTGGTCTAGTGGTTATGTCTCTCGCTTCAAGTGTGAGAGGTCCCGGGATCGAATCTCGGTCGAACCTTCCTTTTTTTTTTATATTTTTTTTTTACTAAATGATAGTATTCAGCATGTGAAATGAAAAATTTATGAGGTTATAAAATCATCATTACAGTGTGATAAAAATTCCATATAAAAAAATCTTCTAAACAAATAATGAATAATAAGCAATCAAATTTTTATATGCATATTGACATACATGTATTTTATTTGCTTCAGTATACATGTATACATTTAATAATTCTACCAATTCAGTCAGGGGGGGCGACTTTTTCCCTAAGCGGGGGACACGAATTCTCTGAATTAGCTTGTTTAAACAAAGGGATTACATTAGCTAATTTCCATTTTTTTGGAAAAACACAGTCTTTCAATGAACGGTTAAACAATAAGCACAGAGGTTTAACAACAGATAATTTTGTTGATTTTAACATTTTATGGCTAATACAGTCTTCTCCAATGGCTTTATTGACAGGTAATATAGATAAAATGTCAATAATTTCTTGTTCACAAATAAAGATATTGTCAAAAACACTATTGCACTCAATGTTTTCTTTAGGTAATTCAGACATTTCATCATCAACACATGTAATTGAAGCAAAATAAGTGTTGAGTACATGTATCTTATCTTCCTCAGAAAAAGCAAACTTAACATCACCTGATGCAGATGTGTACTGTAAAGGGGGGATGTCTGTGGTTGACTTACTTTTAAAAGTGTCTCTTAGAAGTTTCCAGTAAAGCTTAGAGTTGTTTTTACTTGAATAAATTAGTTGTAATTCAAGAGTATTTTGATAATTTTCAATAGCATGTTTTTTCATGTTATTAAATTTATTTCTTATATGCTTAAAATTATCCCAATCACTCTGTTTATCACTTTTTTGTGCTTTTCGTCTCAATCTATTTTTTTCCCGATGGGTTTTCCTTAAAAGTGAATCAAACCAAGGTTTGTCTTTGGGTCTTATTAATACTGATTTTTCGGGTATACATTCCCTAACGAGATCTAGATATTTGGTTGAAAAATTTTCGGTAGCTTCGTCAGTTGATTCTGCATTACAAATAAGATTTTCCCAGTCAGCATTTTCTATAAGGTTATGAAGTTTTTCTATATTAGCATTTTTGTAATCCCATATTTTCCTAACATAAGGTTGACTTTTGATGATACTAGATTTTAAAAAAACATAAGTTGCTTTATGATCAGTTAGTGTACTGTCTGTGTTTATCACGCCTGAGTGGAGTGCTACAAGGTCTGAGCTGATCAAAACTGGGTCAATAAGAGTATTCGAAGTGTACGTAGTTCGTGTCGGTTCGCTGATTGTGTTTGTCAAGTGATAATTCAGCATGATGTCTTTAATAGGAAGTGTGCGAGTATTGTCAAGGAAATCAACGTTTAAGTCACCTACAATTATAAATTTGTTGGATATATCTGATACTTTTTCAACTGACCATAAAAATTTGTCCCAAAAGGATTTTTCGCTACTGGGTGGACGATATATACAACAAAGAAAAAGATTACAGGTAGGTTCACTTATTTCTATCCAGACGCATTCGATTGATATGGGTTCAAGGTCAATGCGACGAATAGCACGAAAACATGAAGGAACATAGATAATGATACCTCCACCATTAGAATTTCTATCTTTGCGAAAAATTGTATCATAACCTTCAATCATAATGTCACTATTACAAATACTTGAGTCCAAGTGTGTTTCCGTGAAACATGAAATATCAAAATCCGTGATTAATGCTGTTACATTTTCAATCTTATGTCGTAAACTTCTGATGTTTAAATGAAAGATGTCCAATGTGTGTATCTGATCATTTGTAGGTCCCGGATTTATTTCAATGTCCCCTGACAAAAGATGCAAGAAAAAAATAATTTGAAACCAAAATTGCAGATGCAGAAAGTTTTGAAAAATACCACACATTTTTTGTAGTTTAAACCATTTCTTTCTAGAGTTTATCAAATATAAATGTAGGTTTTTGACATCTAAAAAAGAAAAGAACACTTTTTGGATCGTACATCTGCTATTGCAGTAAAAGTTACCAATAGCGGCTCGATATTGCTGGATATAATTACCTATCTTTGATTAAAATATTAATACATTTTTCTTTAAAAATAGATTGTAGAGCCGCAATGTATAATATGTGAGAGCAATATCGCAAATAGGGCGGAGCATACATACAAGACTGTGAACACATGAAAATGGAGAAAAACAAACAAAAACAAAAGAAAATGGGGTTAAAAAAACAAAAAAATAAAGTACAAAACAAAAATGGAAATCTATATGATTCGGTCATAAGTGACATATGTACAAAAGAACGACCGATCACCATGAACAAAAAGAAACCAAATGACATAATCAAAGGAGAGCAAGTGGGTGAATAGTGCTATATTTACATAGATGTAGTGCTTAATAGCTACATATAATATAATATGATACGTAAATTGATATTTTGTGTCCTTGGGATTGTAAGTGGCAGTCTTGATGAATGTCTCACGTGTTTTGGTTATTTATTATAATTCATTTACCCGTTAAGGAGATTTTCAAGATCCTCGAAGAACGTACTTCGTAACGGTGTCCCTTCTTTTCAAAATTAATGAAAATTCTCCCGTCGTAGGTCCAGAAACTATGGACGATTTCTGATTTTTTTGCTTGTATGATTTTAGAAACTAAGGCTTGTCTATACTTGGTCAAGTCTTCCGTCACAAAAATTTTATTGACATTGTTTTTCAATTGTTTTTTTGCGCTGTAAACTCTGTTTTTGATCTTCCAATTTCTAAATCTGCAAATGATTTGAATTTTATTTTGTTTTGGGCTACCAATGGGATGAGATCTATCTATATCATCAGGAGTGATAGTAACACCCATTCCTGCACAGATCTGGATAACTGCGGATTCAGTGTCGAGTGGCTCCCTTGTCCCATCCTCGCCTGGCTCAGGTAACGGGACATTATGGAAGCGTAGTGAAGGTCTGCGCCCATACTGCTCTAGGCTGTCTAGCCCATATTCTAGATCATCTACTCTACGTTTTAATTCATCATTACTCTCTTTTAAGGTTTTTATTTCCTCATTTTGCTCTTCTATATCTTTTTGCTGTTCCTTAATTGAACTTAGAATGGGCTGGAGACAGCTTTGAACGATAAGTTGGATGTGGGGAGTGATTGCAGATGCAATATGTGGAGCAAATGCCCCCATGAAAGCCTGACTATGAACGGCCTTAACAATTAGTTCATTTATGGCGGATGTTTGTATCTCCCCGTTGGAGTCAACTATAGCTGTTGAAGAGCCAGTACTTTTGTTTGGGTCAGGTGATGAACTTAAGACTGTAGATGTTGGGGTCAAAGGAGAGGATGATGGGATATTTGATTGACTGTTCTCAAAGTTAGTGGCCATCTCGGCTGACAGATTAGAAATATCTGGCAAGGATGAGGAAGACGTGATACGTCTTCGAGATGATAAGTGTTCAGAGAAACTTAATTCAGAAGACCTTTTACGTTTGGTGTCCTTGGCACATCTAGAGTCCGACATTGGTTGGTATTGTGAGTAGAGTTCATTGGACCAAACGACACAATTAATTAAAGATTTTGTCTATATTTAATGAGCAGCATCAAAATCACTAATATAAGAAACTATGGCATATTATACGATGACATACTTGCCAAGAGACAATACACACACACGTATCTTCAATGCACCCACTAATTCTCTCAGAGCTTTAACAGCCTACATCTTACACTAATTTCTGTCCGGAAGCACAAGTCTAATTCAATCATAATGGGAAACAAATTTTTCATTTTAAGCTGCAGTAAAGAAAACCTTTTTTTTATACTTTCAAAAATAAAATTTGCAATAATACCTTTGAATTAATTAATTTCTCTGTTAAGACATTTGTCAAACATCCAATTATTTTGAAAGAAAACCCATCACTAACCTATCCCATATGTGACATTAATTGGTTTCTTTTTGCTGTACAGTCCCGTTCCTGCGTACCCCGCCTTCTCTGCCGGGGACCAGTAGATGTGGTAATTTTTGTCGATGACCCCGGGGGGTAGTTGATCCTCCTGACACTTGGTTTCCTGGACACACAGAATGTCGGGGGACTCAGTCTTCATGTAGGACATCTTGTCTTTCTGAAAAAATATGATTTCATGTATATATATTACTATAAATATTAAAAACATCTTTATTCCAAAAAGTTAAATACTTGTATACTGCTTTTGTGAATTTTAAATTGATCATAAATTATGAGATGATTCTAATCATTGGTTATTGTATTTGTGGATGTAAGTTTATACATGAAGTCTTAGTGTGAAAATGTATTTTTATAATCAACATGATATATAACTACATGCAGCAGAATAATGGGGAATTTCTCAAATATTAAAACATGCCCTCACAATTCAGAACATTTGCTTCCACATCTTAGTTTAAACACAATTATAATAAAGATTTTCTGATGCCAGTTAAGCAGATAGTACTTCAAGTATCCAAAACAGATACACTGCAAATACCCCAATAAACAGCAAAACTACTCACATCGTACCAGGCTCTAATGCCATTAAGATTCCAGGAGGCAATCTTCAGGGTAAATTTCCTCCCATCCTTTGTCTTGGCGTCTGGATTAACCTCCGTGGGAAATGAGGTGTCGGTCCCCTCTGGTAAGGGTTCAATTGTATCCTCCTTACGAAGGGGGGCTTTCTTCCCCTTTTTGGCTGGAACTTTCTACATGTTAAAGGAAAATAAATATCTAAGCTTGTATTATAAGATATACAAATAAGCAAAACTAGGTCATAAAGTCACTGGGACCTCTGAAATTACTTCACTATATCCGTAATTCGTTATAACTGTAAAAGATAAGATATTCATTAAAGAATGAGTGCACTGAAGTACGTCATTTGGAACCTTTTCGGCTACCCATTTTAAGCTTAACATCAGAATATATCGCTAAATTAATCTATGATTAATGTGCAAGCATATGCTTTTGATATTTATTTCTAGAATTTTTTGTCATACATATTTCTATAATTACAGAAAATGTAATTGAAAAGAACATGTAAAAGCCTTAAATTCCGGAAATTTGAACAGGACCACTTTCGAATCTTAGGTATCAGCAAATAGGCGGAGACATTTAAACCGCATGGTTGTGGAATGTAGACATTAGCACATATGATTTTTTCGCATTGCGAATTGAAATGGAGAAGAGAGAGAGAGATCGTGTTGATTTCATGGTGCACAATTATTAAATGATTCTAATGTTAAGGGATGGGGAAAATGTCTCGCTGTGCAGACCATAATACAGAGGCAATATAAGCCTATACATGTACTTACTAATGACACTGTCAATACCAGATTTCTTTCAAAACACCGTTAATGAAAAGCATAAAGATAAATAAGAGACATATTATCTTCAAACTCTATTTATTTAACATTTGCGCAAAAATCTACCATAGTTTGAAGTTGGAAGTACGATAGATAATGTCACAACAGAGACTTAAACACAATGAAATTTACAATGAAAGCGTTAGCGTATCGAACAGCAGAAGGTCACGTGAGAAAGGTGATTATAATATCAATCGTTGTTGCTCAGTGACCTGTTAATTTAGTAGCTATCTCGACCCTAGTTTGGGGACATTTTTTTTTTAACTTATATATGAGCCGCAACTTGGCCAACATTGTCCTTTGGAAATGTGTAAGTTTAAGTTAAAATACACATTCTGTGCAAATAAGAAAAATGGCCAAGTTGCAACTCGAAGTAAACAAAGTCGTTGAAACCTGGTATGCATATTAATAACAATAGAAATGAGACAGAACTGTTAGACCCTCGTCTCAAAAGCTAGTGTCGCTCGGCATTATTTAATACTTTCATGTAATATAATATACCAAAACCTGCTCTTAAGACATTGTTTAATACCTATAAAACATAAATTAAATGAATTTTGGAATTTTATTTTGCGCAAAACATCGGGATCCAACTCTCATAGCTTAAGTGCACTCATTCTTTATATAGCTGGGGATCCAAGATAACTTCACTATTTCCATTAATTTGCAATATCTGTGTTCATACTAAACAAGTTTTACTGTATTCTGGGATAAAATACATTATGTGCTATGTTAATTTTTTACAGGATCTGTTTTTACAGGATTTGATTTACAAGATCTACTTACCTTTTCTGAATCTCCATCTGCCTCTACTTTCTGTTTCTTGCTTGGTGAAGGCTTAAAAAATACAGCAAAATTTATAATATATAGCTCTTCATTCATTCTTCTTTAAAAACTATCTTAATTATATCATGTATATCTTGTAAGTTGTCATCTTTAAAGTATTTATACTTTATAAGTATTTTAATTTCAAAGGAAATATATCATCTGAGATTCAATTTCGGTAATACAGTGTATTGGTTTTAAACCAGTCAAATTATAATATTTTAACATAACTTAAAAAG